ATTCCGGATCTCTCAACGAAAATTACGGAAAAGATTTTAAAATTATCACAAAAAGGCTTTTGAAATCAACGGAAAAAAACTTTAAAAAACAGCTAAAACGGTTAATTTAACAAACCATTAACAAACGGAAAAAGTGTCATCGTGTCCAGCCCTACAGCTACAGGTATAGGATTCTTAAACTTAGAGAAAATGTAAGAATTTGACTGGTTTTTAAACATTTATCTAAACCCAATATTTAGCTGTAAAGAATGTTAACGTTTTCTCTTGTTCAAATCTGGTTTTTAAAGAAAAACCAAAGAATTTTTTCGCAAACCTAATAAGGCTTTGATGATATTTTGATTTTAAGGAAGTACAATCGTAATCTAAGTGACCCTTAATGTAAAGATCGCAATGCTTAATACACAACGATATTCTCTGATTATTAATGTGGACAATTTTTTTAGGGTTTAAAGTGCTTAGTTCTGATAATTTCTTCAATAGAAATGTGGAAGTCAATTTTATAAAGAAATCAAAATTAAAAACCATCAGTTTTAAAAATTTTAAACATTGTAAATGGAATCGTTAATCAGAAAAAGCTTTTAAGGGTAAATCGAGCATTGTCATCCTTGCATAAAAGGCTAATTGAAAATACGCTTACATGTCCCTGAAATACGCTTACATGTCCCTGAAATACTCTTATATGTCCCTGAAATACGCTTACATGTCCCTGAAATACGCTTACATGTCCCTGAAATACGCTTACATGTCCCTGAAATACGCTTACATGTTCCTGAAATACGCTTACATGTCCCTGAAAGTGTTTCAGATTTTGCAACTTGCAGTGTTTTCTGTAAAAAGTCTACACAACTTATTTGTTGCAAAAATACTGATCGCAAACGTGTACTGAATACCATTATGTCATGTATATTGTATATATATAAAAAGAATGAGGTCAGTGTGAAGAATTTATTAGTTTTTAAATCAAAATTCTTTAAAGGAACAACTTAGCATAAATACAAATTATGTTTATTTTATGCCCTCAGTTCAAAGATATTAGAATTCAATAGATGGGACAGCCTTGCACATATTTAAATCCTTCCTTTAAATATATCTTCTTCTTCTAAATACCTAAAGAGCAAAAGTGTTGACAGGCGTGTAATTAACCAATCAAATAAGCTTATCTCACTTTTTGGGTTGATATGAAAATTGGAGACATTACGAGGTCACATAGATTGGTTTCTTCATGGGAGTACGTATGATATTATATTATATATTGGATTATATTATATCGTAATTTAAAGATGTCTAGACAGCAAGTACAAATTCTTTAAAGGGCAGTTCCGCGGACTTTGGGACTGTCCCAGAAGCCCGTGACTGTTCCGGCAGGTTCTGGGACAGTCCCAGGATCGCTGGGCCTTTGGCAGAGTACTAGAAGCCTGGGACAGTCCCGGGACTTTGGGACCGTCCCAGAAGCCCAGGACAGTCCCAGGCCTTCGGGATTGTCCCAAAGACAAAGAATCCCGACACCATGGGGTTTTATTTGTATTCAAACTATTTCAAGAAAAATCAAACCTTAAAAAATGTGGGACTAGCTGGACTAATAATTGGACAAGATTACTTATTTTCGATGATAAGAATAATTTTTACTTTCTCGATCTGTTCCTAAACAACTTATTATTTTACTGAGGAATTTTGTTCACAATTTTTGTTGTTGTTATTTAAAAATAAACAAAATTCTGAAAACGTATCCACCCAAAAGTAAGATTTTGAACGTCGATTTTGCGCTCAAACTCAGGATTAACGGATCTTTAAAAAGTTTTATATGTCTCAAATGAATCCTAAAGAATTTGTCCACAGCACTGCATACTCAGTACAACTACCTTAAATAGCCGGTCAATCCCTTTAAAAAAAAACAGATTCTGAAAACATCTTAGACCCAAAGTACATGGAATAAGTTTTAGAGGCTAATGGAAGCCTACAATTTTTAAAATTTTCTTCTAAAAAGGTTATTTAGAAAAGAGGGTAAAGTATAGTATTTAGACTATTTATAAATTTTTAAAAAGGGTATGGTAAAGTGATTTATGAAATAAATAGTTTAATTAAACTAATAATTTTGCAAAACAAATTAATGAGACATGGTTGTGTGAATGGTTTTTTAACAAACAAATTTTAATACAAATTTTTACTTCCAAAAATAAAAGGTTAAAGAATAAAAATAGGAAATAAGATGTATCAGAAAAAAATTGTATTTTTCATAAAAAATTATGAAAAAGAAGTTCTACTCCACCCTTCTCCCCCCCCCCTTAAAATATGTTTGTTTTTCCACCCTAGGATCAGTAAAACAGTGCTCCAGAATTAATTAAGTAAATTCATTATGAAGAACATATAACAGTTGGTGTGTGAGCTTTAACAACTCCAGAATACATGGCACCGTTTTCCTCAGCAATGTCACTTCTACTTGGTTTTTATCTATATATATATCTATATATATACTTTACCTAAGCATATTCTCTTTGTACAATATAAAACAAAAACCATAATGTTCGCGGATTTAATGATATTTTTCGCGCATTTAAAAATCTTACAAAAATCAAAGAATTTCGGACTTATTTTTTTGTAATTTTGAGCATTCAAAAAAACCTTTCCTAGGGTCATGTGTCCCAAAAAAATAGGGCCCAATTGGTTCAACCGTTTTGACGTTAAATGGATACAAACGGACTACCCCCTTCCTGTAAATAATTTTAACGTTTAACACTTTAGCTCTGATAAAAGTCGGCAATTTTAAAGCAAAGTATAAATATAAATAGATGTTGTAAACTCTGTTTGTTTGTATGTCCGATCATAACTTGTGAACCCCTCGACCGAATTGCTGTCAATTTTGATTGGGGAACTTGGGAGAACCACGGGAATGTTTACAAATTGGTTTTGACGTTTTGACGTTTTGACTTTTTGACGTTTTACTTTATAAAAACAACATTCAACATAAAACTAAATAGTAAACAGTGCATTAAAAACGAGTATGAACGCTTCGCCTCAAGTGTTTGTAGGGAAATCTAAAATGTGACCTTCCATGCAAAAAATGTCAATGTCCGAAGAACAACAGTACCTTTATAGCATTGTATGATAATTATCAATCATATATATCAATGCTTATCATTTAGAAAACTGATTATTTCGGGTTTCTTTGAAAAAGTGACTAGCGCATCTATAGTCTAGACATATATAGTCTTTACATATAGTCTATAGTCTATACATATAAGAAGTAAAACGACAATATCTTCCACATTATTGATCAGATAAAGAGTTCAAGGATACAGTTGGGACAATATTCCCATCTTTGCATGGAAGGTCACTCGAAATTAATTACGCTATCAGTCCCTTTAAATTCTTTCGGTTCAGCCGTGTCATTGAACATGGGATATAAAACAAAACGACAGATGACGTGAAATGCTCTAAGATTATCACAAATTCATACATTTTGCCATAATTTAGCTAGTTTTTGAAGTTTTTGACTAAACTTTATGAAATATTCGGATAAAAATTATAATTTAAAAAAAAAAGATTTTAAA